ATTTATTACCTCAACGACATTGGAACTGCTACGTAGGAGTATATTGAGTACAGCCATGTGTCCTGTTTTTGCAGCAAAATGCAGCGGAAGGTTCCCTTCGTCATCAGCCAGCTGTGCTAAAACTTATCGCATCAACAAACAAATACCTGAGAGGTGAGTCAAACTATGAGTTTTTAGATGCAGTGGGGCTCCAAGAAGATAATCGAACTGGAAAGTGGCGAGTCAAACAATTTGAACTTACGGTCAGCCCCTGCTTCCAAAAGGAGGGAGGTGATAGCGGAAAGACCTCTGCTGGCTGCCAAATGTAAGGGACGATCCTTGACACCCCCACAAACATTTCCATCAGCCCCACAGCTCAGCAAACAGCGTACCACCTAAGAAATACAAATTTAGTAAAAAAAAATGAGTATTTAGATGTATCCAAAGGCAAATACCTGTTCATTAGCGAAATAAGTAGCGCAATGCAAAGCAGTGAACAGCACGAAGTCATTTGCTGCCAGGGAAGCTCCTTTATCGACTAGGGCCTGAGTACAAAATTTGGGTAATAGATAATCAACAAACAAAGAGAATTTTACCTGCACTATAGTAGGACTTCCAATCATTGCAGCTAGATGAAGAGGAGGAAGTTGATGTTTGCCTCCAAGACTGGGGTCAGCGCCCACGTCAAGGAGACATTTCACCAAAGCTAGGTCACCCTGCAACGAAAACTTCCTTTTTATTTTTTGGAAGTACGTCTGTTTATTGAATCTCAAAGTTACTGAATCAAATACATGCTAACACGTTCACCATAGTTTACATTTCTCTCCTCTTACCAATTAATTCACCAATAAACCCCAATTCGATTCGACTGATAGAAATTATTGGATTAGTACCATAGTCTTGTCGCACTTTTTTTCGTTACTATGGATTTAGAAACTCACTAAAAAATACACGAGAAAAAAATTCTTTGATTGGCATCATTTTTTTCTTGACGAACAGATACACTAATATAAAGGCATATCTGCAACGGTATATCGCTTCCAATTCCCTGATTTTCTGACATTGATTTTTTACTTTCATTTTTTGGTATACTAAGGCTTTTGAATCTTATCCTTCGAAGAATATAGAAATTGAATGATTACACGTATTTGAAGGGCTACAGTTTTTTCGAATGGAACAAAACGTGATTTAGCAAATGGGAAGCAATGATGGAATAAGTAAAAATTATTTGCTGCTTATTGCTGATAAGTACGGAATATGTTTTAGTGGTGTGAAAATATGAAAAGAAAACCAATAAGACTTTCATACGCAAGGCTACAGCGTCAGTGCAAGACAAAGGGATACAATTTCAAAAAA